GACGACAAAGAGGAGGAGGTGGACGGAGGGAGGGAGGGAGGGAGGAGGCGGAAGGCCCGCCCTTCGTCCGTCCTCGTCCTTCGGCGGCAGCCCGACGAGGACGAGGATCGACACGAAGAGGGCCTCGCGGCCGCGCCAGGGGCCGACTGTCAATGCGGCGGGCCCAGAGAGGCGTCGTCATCACCCCGCGTCGCCGTCATCGTCGCCGTCGTCATCATTATCGTCGCCATCGTCATCGTCTTCGTCCCCGTCCCACTCCCTCCCCTTCCCCGTCGTGCTCCGTCCTCCGTCCTCCGTTCGGTTCCTGGGGGCGTATCGGGCGTCGCGGCAGTTGCAGAGCGTTCTGTAGCGCTCTGAGAGCGCTGCGGAGAGCTCTGGAGCGATTTATGCGCCTGCTCGAAGAGGTAAGGGAGGTGGGCGGAACTTGACATATTCGCCAGCTGAACAGAACTCACGAAGGGAGATGTTGGGCGATCTTCTGCCTTCGGGAGTTCTTTTCTGGCCGGACCTATCGGGAGGCACGTTGTGAACAAAACCACGCCGCCGTCGGATGTCTGGAGAGTGAGGGGGGCGAGCACAATGAGAGAAGAGGAAGGCGGGACGCAGGAGGTTGGAGGAGTGATGGGGGGAGGAGGGGAGGGGGGCCGGGGGGGCGGGGGGGGGGGGATGGGGAAGCGGGAGGGACGGAGAGAAGTGAGGCGGGAGTAGTAGCGAAGAGGATCACGGAGGAGGGAGGGAGTAGGGACGGCAGGGCGGGTCAAGAGTGAGGAGACGGAGGACGAGCGAGAGCAGGGAGGACCAGCAGCAACTGCAGGAGCAGCGTAGGGGGGTGGAGGAGCAGCGGAGAGCAGGCATGGGAGGTAGGGAAGAGATGGAGGAGGAAGGTGAGGGAACGTTGAACAGGAGCAAAAGCAGGAGCAGGAGAAGGCAGAATGAAGGAGAGGACGTGGAGGGAGGAGGAACAGGAGGAGGAGGGGGAGCAGAAGGTCAGGGGAGAAGAGACATGAGACGCACACATCCGATGCTGTGTTTTCAGTTATTATGTGTTAAACTGATGTGGGCACAAGAAACGCTCAACCTGACACCCAGAACCAGTTTTTCACTCTGGCTTGCTTTCTGATAGTTTGGGGCCCGCAAATAAGAACAATAGAAGGCGACACCACCCCGACCAGCGACAAAGCAGCCCGAGGGGTCCGCCTGATTGTGTTGTCGCCCCCCTCTCGCTCGAGACATCCCGCATCCCCAGCTCGGGAAAGCCTCGTCAATTGCTGGTCCTCCAGTGCCACCATCATAGGCAACCACAAGGGCCGTCACAAGCACCTCGCACCCAATGCCAGATCATCATAAAAGCTCGTGATAAGAGGAACGACCATCATAGGCATTTGCGTTCAACTTTCTGTTAATGGTACACCAGCAAGCAATACGCGTGCGAGCACCAGCACGAGTACTACCAGTACGACGGAATCTGCAGCACCGCGGCGACGCACGCGTATTGCCAGCTCGACTGGACTACCAATACGAATGGGTGCAGCAACACGAGCGGTACCAGCACGACCCGTGGCCGCATCTCGGTGGTTCATCTTGTCCTCTGGGCCTTCGCTTGATTCAGGGGTTGGAGACTCGATGCTGTCGGGGGTGGCGGCTTTGGGCCGCGTGGGGGGCGCGGCCAAGAGGCTCGTGCTGCCTCTTGAAAGGGTTCCCCAGGGGAATAGGAGCGAGGTGTTCGACGGGGACGTGACGCCGCGAGGTGGCGGCGGCTGCGGCGTGACTCCCCGCCTGTGGACCCCCCGCTCCTTTTGATCGAGGGTTGTCTCGTGCACGGGCTGGGGGCAGGTTTCCAATACTCTAACTGCCCTTCTCAGGTATCCCAATCCCTTCCTACCAGTGAGGGCCTTACCAATGAGGACCGCCATGAAGCGTCACACCCTTCGGATCTTCCATCCTAAGGGTTGTGGGGGTCGAACCAGGTCCCCACGAACCTGACATCGTACGTGCAATGCCGGGGTCGCGGCCCGTCTTCCCATCACACCATCCCTGAAGACGGGACGTGGGGGGCACGATTGGGCATCGTAGCCCGCTCAAAATCGAAAGGGGCATCATAGCCTCATCACTAACGCTTCCCATAAACATTCATTCAATGCGTAGCAACATGCTCTCTCCCCCAAGCGGCGAATCCGGCACCGCCCCTGGCCCTTGGCGCGTTCCGCGCGCACAGGGGGTGGGGCCCAGCGCCGATCCAAGAGATCCGCGCTGAGCCCCCTGAAACCCGACGTCACGTTTGTTCCGCACGCGCTCAAGAAACCGGGGCCCCCAAATACCCCAGAACTCTTGGAACGCACCCGAACCCATCGCACCATGACATCATTTTCGTCAAATTCCTGAACATGGGAGGTGTGGGGAACGACTTGGCACCATAGCCAAAAGAGACATCATTGCCTCATCCCTTACACGTCTCATTGCCATTCGTTCCATGCCTAGCAGCATGCTCTCCCCTCGCTGGAGGTGGCACCATGGTGCTGGTGGTGGTGGTGGTGGTGGTGGTGGTGGTGGCGTGCCCCCTCCTTCCTCCGACGCAAGCGGCCCCCCTCCCGAGCCCGACGCTGCTAAATAAAAACGAGCCTTCTACACTCCGCCTCCTCCCCTCGCCCTCCACCTCCTCGCCCTCTCCCTCGCCCTCCTCCCCCCTCCGCCTCCTCTTCCCCCCACCTCTGCTTCCTTCCTCTGCTCCTGATCGGCCTTCTCCTCCTCCTCCTTCTCCTCCTCCTCCTCCTCATCCTCCCCCTCCTCCCTCTCCCCGTCCTCCTCCTCCTCCTCCTCCTCCTCCTCCTCCTACATAATATCACGACGTCAGATCAGGCGACTGGGGCCCCCAGCAGGTCGCCAGTCCGGTGTTCCCCGGAAGCCAGAAGAAGCCCAAAGTATCAAGGATCCTTGATCCTCGACCCCGGGTAAGAAAACGAAAACAACCACATCAGCACTGCATTCCGAAGGAACTGCTTGAATGCCAGTGGAGCCGCCCGAACACTGACTTGACCAATCGGCCGTGATCCTCAAGGGCCACTGGCGAACCAGGTTAGCACTCGGGCCTTCCAGACATCACCTGAAAAGACTCATCCGACCCGAACGCTGACCAAACACAATATCCGATCCCGATCGGTGACTCTCGGGCGTGTCACCGCCCAAGAATCGGCCTCCCAAAGGTACTCTCGGTGGCGAAAAGATGATGATGAGGAGGAAAAAGAGCAGGATGAGGAGGAGGAGATCGGGGAGATTGGATCGGAGCGGGTCAGCATCGTTGACGCAGCTGGCTATCAGAACCCCCCTGTGGGGGTGGCCCACAGTAGAACTCTGCTTCAGGGTCTTCTTACGCTTCTTACAGAAGGAGTTGGCAACTCCCTGCCCCACCAAGAATTCCCTCCCTTCGGCACGGACTGGGATCGGACAGGGCTTTCCTAGCTTGGGGGGAGGCCCTTCTTAATTCGGTTCATGTATTTCTTGCCCGAGGGGGTGCACACCTTCAAACACGGTTCCGTCAGCGAAAAGAGCCTACTCATCTCGGTTGCCACGTTCGCGTAGTGACCGCACTTCCAGCACCAAACCAGTCCATGCAACATCCCGCAGACGTGGGAGCTGTGGACTTCTGCGGTTCGGGTACAGACTGGGCTAGTGAGTTGGGGGGGCACCAGGGCAAGGGTTCCAGCTTCGCTGCGGTTTCTACTCAGGGGGCCCCCACTACAGCGCGATCCTTCGAGCCCGTCAACCAGCGAACCCCTGCCAGGGTCCAACCGACACACGCGGCAAGCCCAGCTCCCAGGGCCCAAACGGCCCAAGACGTGCCCAAACGCCTTCTCAAGCTCGAGCACACGCCTAGAGGCCCCCCCTTTCCCGCCTCGGGCGCTACCCTGGCGGGGCGGCCCTGTCTGCCAGCGGCCTTCGCCGCCCGCCAAGCTGTCAGCGCCACCGTCCGCAGGCGGGCGCGGGTGGCTACGGCATCGTCCGCGCGCAAGGCGAAGACCTCCGAGCGGATCGCCCGCGAGGCCTCCTCCGCCCCAAGCTGCGCAAAACTGTCAGCCACGTCGTTGCCTCTCGAAACTGCTGGGCATTGGCCCACTCGACGGTGGGGGACAACATCTATATGGTTGTAGCACTTGCGAAGCACAACCGGTCCCTCGCGGTTCCGCCAAGCTTCCGCCACGCGCTCACACCAGCGCCGTAAACTTCCGCTGGGCGTCTGCAAATCTACCTTGGTGCCAGCCATCAAAGAAAGACAACCTGGGCGCCAGTGTCAATTACCGCGTCACCTCGCGCGAGAGAAAGGCCCCACCGCAGCGCCGCCATTTCCGATGCTGGAACATATTGGTTACCGTCGACTCCTCCGCATCACCCCGGGGTCAGGGAGGCGCCCGAGGGGGTCGAGCCCAGGGGGGGAGGAGGAGGTGGAGATCCCTGGCCCCTACTGGATATAGCCCCCCACCCAACACGGCATTCGCGTCGGCCCGAAGACGACCCCGATCCGTCCATGAACGCCACGTTGGCAGCAACGCGCGCGTGGCCCGAGGGTGGGGCTCCGCTTGGGCCGAGGGTGGGGCACGGGGCGTCGACGGCTCGCACGTTCCAGGCGCGGTGGTCTCCCCAGACAGACGGCGGCGAGACCGAATTCCAGCTGGGAGAGACGATGCCCTGCAACCACAGGGCAGCGTTCGCATCTTGATCGAGCTCCCTAGCGGCTCTCCCGCACAGTCCTTGGGTCCTGATGACCCATGGGCGTTCACATTGCGAGATGGCAGGGCGTTCGTACAATCGGTGCCTGATGTTGTCATGCGCACCTAGATCGCACACTTTACGCAGTCCGTCGGTCTGGCACCCAGCCTGGCGAAGACGGGCCCCAATCCAATGGGTCCAATAGGCCACGCTCTCGAAGGCCCATGCCCCCTGAAACATCAGTTTCGTTGCGCATGCGGGCGACATTAATGCGAGGCATCGTGAGATCTCCCCCTCTCGCCAACGATGCCCCTTCAGCATGTTGCCCCACCTGGGTCCATTGCATTCGGGTGATTGTCTCGCCGAATGCTTCGCACGACTCGGCCAGGGCCCCGCCCGGGTCGGGATCGAACCTCCGCTCG